AAAATGTACACACATATTTACTATGGACTTTATGCTGAGTTTTGTTTTAATAATGTACACACCTATTTACTATGGACTATATACCATGTTTTGTTTTTATAATGTACACACATATTTACAATGAACTGTATACCATGTCTTGTTTTAATAATGTACAGACATATTTACTATGAACTGTACATGTATACTATGTTTTGCTTAAGTAATGTACACACATATTTACTATGAACTATATGCTGTTTTGTTTTAATAATGTACATACATATTTACTATGAACTATATACTATGCTTGTTTTTATAACGTACACACATATTTAATATAAACTGTATACTATGTTTTGTTTTAATAATGTACACACATTTTTACTATGACCTATTTACTATGCTTTGTTTTTATAACGTACACACATATTTAATATAAACTATATATTATGTTTTGTTTTAATAATGTGCATACATTTTACTATGAACTGTTTACTTTGTTTTTATTTATTAATGTACACACATATGTATTATGGACTATATGCTATGTTGTGTTTTAATACTGTACACACATATTTACTATGAACTATATGTCATGTTTTGTTTTAATAATGTACACACATATTTACTATGAACTATGCTATGTTTTGTTTTAATCATGAACACACATATTTACTATGAACTGTATATTAGTCTTTGTTTTAATAATGTACACAAATATTTCCTATGATCTATATACTATATTTGTTTTGATAATGTACACACATATTAACTATGAACAAGATGCTCTGTTCTGTTTTAATAATGTACACACATATTTACTATGGACTTTATGCTGAGTTTTGTTTTAATAATGTACACACCTATTTACTATGGACTATATACCATGTTTTGTTTTTATAATGTACACACATATTTACAATGAACTGTTTACCATGTCTTGTTTAAATAATGTACAGACATATTTACTATGAACTGTACATGTATACTATGTTTTGCTTAAGTAATGTACACACATATTTACTATGAACTATATGCTGTTTTGTTTTAATAATGTACATACATATTTACTATGAACTATATACTATGCTTGTTTTTATAACATACACACATATTTATTATAAACTGTATACTATGTTTTGTTTTAATAATGTACATACATATTTACTATGAACTCTATACTATGTTTTGTTTTAATAATTGACAAAAATATTACTATGAACTATGTACCATGTTTTGTTTTAATAATGTACACACATATGTACTATGAACTATATGCTATGTTTTATTTTCATAATGTACACATATATTTACTATGAACTATTTACTATGCTTTGTGTTTATAACGTTCACACATATTCAATATAAACTATATATTATGTATTGTTTTAATAATGTACATACATTTTACTATGAAGTGTATATTAGTCTTTGTTTTAATAATGTACACACATATTTCCTATGATCTATATACTATATTTGTTTTGATAATGTACACACATATTAACTATGAACAAGATGCTATGTTCTGTTTTAATAATGTACACACATATTTAATATGGATTTTATGCTGAGTTTTGTTTTAATAATGTACACACCTATTTACTATGGACTATATACCATGTTTTGTTTTTATAATGCACACACATATTTACAATGAACTGTATACCATGTCTTGTTTAAATAATGTACAGACATATTTACTATGAACTGTACATGTATACTATGTTTTGCTTAAGTAATGTACACACATATTTACTATGAACTATATGCTGTTTTGTTTTAATAATGTACATACATATTTACTATGAACTATATACTATGCTTGTTTTTATAACGTACACACATATTTATTATAAACTGTATACTATGTTTTGTTTTAATAATGTACATACATATTTACTATGAACTCTATACTATGTTTTGTTTTAATAATTGACAAAAATATTACTATGAACTATGTACCATGTTTTGTTTTAATAATGTACACACATATTTACTATGAACTATATGCTATGTTTTATTTTCATAATGTACACATATATTTACTATGAACTATTTACTATGCTTTGTTTTTATAACGTACACACATATTCAATATAAACTATATATTATGTATTGTTTTAATAATGTACATACATTTTACTATGAAGTGTTTACTTTGTTTTTATTTGATAATGTACACACATATTTACTATGGACTATATGCTGTGTTGTGTTTTAATACTGTACACACATATTTACTATGAACTATATGTCATGTTTTGTTTTAATAATGTACACACATATTTACTATGAACTATGCTATGTTTTGATTTAATCATGAACACACATATTTACTATGAACTGTATATTAGGCTTTGTTTTAATAATGTACACATATTTCCTATGATCTATATACTATATTTTGTTTTGATAATGTACACACATATTAACTATGAACAAGATGCTATGTTCTGTTTTAATAATGTACACACATATTTACTATGGACTTTATGCTGAGTTGTGTTTTAATAATGTACACACATATTTACTATGGACTATATACCATGTTTTGTTTTAATAATGTACACACATATTTACTATGGACTATATGCCTTGGTTTGTTTTAATACTGTACATACATACTTACTATAAACCATATGTCATGTTTTGTTTTTATAATGTACACACATATTTACAATGAACAATGAATGTTTTGTTTTAGTAATGTACAGATATATTTACTATGAACTGTACATGTATACTATGTTTAGCTTAAGTAATGTACACACATATTTACTATGAAATATATGCTGTTCTGTTTTCATAATGTACACACATATTTACTATGAACTATATACTATGTTTTGCTTAAGTAATGTACACACATATTTACTGTGAACTATATGCTGTTTTGTTTTCATAATGTACACACATATTTACTATGAACTATATACTATGCTTGTTTTTATAACGTACACAGATATTTAATATAAACTGTATACTATGTTTTGTTTTAATAATGTACATACATATTTACTATGAACTCTATACTATGTTTTGTTTTAATAATTGACAAAAATATTACTATGAACTATGTACCATGTTTAGTGTTAATAATGTAGACACATATTTACTATGAACTACATCCTGTTTTGTTTTAATAATGTACACACATACTTACTATGAGCTATGTACCATGTTTCGATTTAATAATGTACACACATATTTAGAGTGAACTGTATACCATGTTTGGTTTTTCTAATGTACACACGTGTTTACTATGAACTCTATACTATGTTTTGTTTTAATAATTGACAAAAATATTACTATGAACTATGTACCATGTTTAGTTTTAATAATGTACACACATATTTACTATGAACTACATACTGTTTTGTGTTAATAATGTACACACATATTTACTATGAGCTATGTACCATGTTTCGATTTAATAATGTACACACATATTTACAGTGAACTGTATACCATGTTTGGTTTTTCTAATGTACACACGTGTTTACTATGAACTATATGCTATGTTTTATTTTCATAATGTACACATATATTTACTATGAACTATTTACTATGTTTATTTTTGTAACGTTCACACATATTTAATATAAACATTATGCTATGTTTTGTTTTAATAATGTACACACATATTTACTTTCAACTACATACATCATAAGAGGAAATTAAAGTAATGAATGACACATAAAGATATAATCAGGTGCAATAAATGTGACAATAATAATAATGTATTTGCAACAAAGATATTCTCTTACTATAATTACCTAATTAGGGATATAAAGGGTTATACTCATAGGATGTGTTTATTTAAGTAAACCACTCTAAGGAGTATTTAGTGCAGAAATGATGATAGAGGTCCCCAAAGTGGAACCTACAATAACATAGGGAACACATATTTGTATACCCCAATAAATGGATTTCTAGACCATTTATTTAAAGAAATAGAGTTGTTCTACCCCCATGTGTGATGTAATACAGTACTGTACTGTCATAGTTCAATCACGTGGGTGCATGGGGTAGAGCAAACTATTACTTTTATAAGATGCTGAATTTAAGACTAATCTTATGCATTACCCTAGGTGGGTTTAAAACCAGATCTTCCATAAGCGACGACATAACTTGAAAACCAACGAACAGAGCAACTGGCGGGCTATCCCACCTGATTGCCTGCACCCTATCGTTAAGAGAAGAAGTATACATCTTAACATCCTAAAATGGGAAGAATATGGTTACATAAGTCACATTTCATTATCCGTTAAGTATTTGATTATTCGCATTCTCGTGCAGCAATAAGTGTAATTTGAATTCAAAGTTTTATAATAATTTGCTTGAGTTCAATCACATGACTCGAAAGCGTGCACAAGTGCATTGTAGCGTCGAGCTAAGAACTGTAAACATAGCCGACGTCCGTTATTGTTAGTTGAAGTGTTTTCTGTCATAAAAGTTGCAACCCTTTTTCCACAACTAATATTAGATGCCTGCGGTTCTGAAATAGTGTGCTCACTGAGTTGGTTGCACGTTAGGATAGCGCGTAACCGTCGTGAATCGACGACCTGGGGCGTGATATGGCGGCGCCGTGGGACGAACATGGCAACACTGAGCAACATGACTGGTGTACATGTGGTCATAAAACTCTTCAGGAATTGTTCATGCCTGTGCGAACAGACAGCCATAATTCCTTGGACATCAACGCCCGCCTCGGACAACTTTGTGTTTTCGGGAGTGTGTGTGTGTGTGTGTGTGTGTGTGTGTGTGTGTGTGTGTGTGTGTTAATTTGAACAGCACCATTACGTCAGTTAATTATGACGTACCTAAAAAGTATATTTTATGGCAGGATTAAGTACTTGCTTGCTTGTTTGTTGTTTAACGCTGCACTCAGCAATATTCCAGCTATATGACGGCGGTCTGTAAATAATCGAGTCTGGCCAAAACAATCCAGGGATTGACATCAGGAGCATCGATCCACGCAATTTGGATACGACGACGTGTATCAACCAAGTCAGCGAGTCTGACCACCCGATCCCGTTAGTCGCCTCTTACGGCAAGCATAGTCGACTCTAACGGCAACCATGGGTTGCTGAAGACCTATTCTACCCTTGATCTTCACGGGTCGCAGGATTAAGTCTGGGAAGACAATAACGTTGCCGATACTGTGGCTTATCTTTCTCAGATATGGAATGCCATTTTCCAGGCCTTCAACATCTTTAACGTTTACTGCCCCCATGAGGGCCTGAAACAAAACACAAGGTGGACACACTCGCTACTGACTGTGTGAAAGTGCCCCTGAACCCCATGTGTAGTCGCCATATTGCTGAAATAATGCCGATGGGATGTTAAATGTTAACATTGCTCTGTCCTTGGGATATATTTTCATCAAAATATTTTGACCGATGTTCTTTGCATTTTCATTCTATTTCAAAGATAAAACTGTTTTGGGTGTTCGATGTGACTTGTCTTTTTCAGTCAGATAACTGACAATGTAGATATTGCCAAGTTATCTGAAATTGTCCTATGTGATTTTTACAGGAACACCTTTTTGATGAAGATACTTGACAATCTCAATATGCCCTTTTTCAGCTGCAATGCACATTAGTGATTTGCCATGGCTATCTGCCATATTAACATCAGCACCACTCTCAACAAGATACTTGAAAACCTCAGTGTGTCCATTGGCAACTACAGTGCACACAAGTATATTCCAGCAACTGTCTTTCATATTCACATTAACACCTCTTTTAGCGAGATACTGAAGAATATGAAGGTGTAGATTTGCAACTTCTGTGCAAAGAGGGAAGTTACCATATGTATTCATTATCTCAAGGTAAACCCCATAGTCTAAAAGATACTTGACTATCTCAATGTTGTCATTTTCTGCTGCAGTGTGCAGAAGGACAAGGACATACCGAATCTCAACAAGAAAACGGACAATATCAATGTGTCCATTAACGGCTGCACTGCAAAGAGGTGTGTGCCCATGTTTACCTGTATTTACATCAACACCTTTCTCCACAAGGAGTCTGACCATCTCCGTGTTACCGAGTTTAGCTGCACTCTGCAAAACTGATGTCCAGAATGTATCTGTTATGTTTACATCAAAACCTTTCTCCACAAGGAATCTGACCATCTCAGTGTTACAGCGTTTAGCTGCCCTCTGCAAAACTAATGTCCAGAATGTATCTGGTATATTTACATCAACACATTTCTCCATAAGGAATCTGACCATCTCAGTGTTTCCACGTTCAGCTGCCCTCTGCAAAACTGATGTCCAGAATGTATCTGGTATATTTACATCAACACATTTCTCCATAAGGAATCTGACCATCTCGGTGTTTCCACGTTCAGCTGCCGTCCGCAAAACTGATGTCCAGAATGTATCTGTTATATTTACATCAAAACCTTTCTCCACAAGGAATCTGACCATCTCAGTGTTACCGAGTTCAGCTGCCCTCTGCAAAACTGATGTCCAGAATGTATCTGGTATATTTAAATCAACACATTTCTCCACAAGGCATCTGACCATCTCAGTGTTTCCACGTTCAGCTGCCCTCTGCAAAACTGATGTCCAGAATGTATCTGGTATATTTAAATCAACACATTTCTCCACAAGGCATCTGACCATCTCAGTGTTTCCACGTTCAGCTGCCCTCTGCAAAACTAATGTCCAGAATGTATCTGTTATGTTTACATCAACACCTTTCTCCACAAGGAATCTGACCATCTCAGTGTTTCCACGTTCAGCTGCTCTCTGCAAAACTGATGTCCAGAATGTATCTGTTATGCTTACATCAACACCTTTCTCCACAAGGAATCTGACCATCACAGTGTTACATCGTTCAGCTGCTCTCTGCAAAACTGATGTCCAGAATGTATCTGGTATATGTACATCAACAGCTTTCTCCACAAGGAATCTGACCATCTCAGTATCACAACAGTCAGCTGCCGTCCGCAAAACTGATGTCCAGAATGTATCTGGTATGTTTACATCAACACCTTTCTCAACAAGGAATCTGACCATCTCAGTGTTACCGAGTTCAGCTGCCCTCTGCAAAACTGATGTCCAGAATGTATCTGGTATATTTAAATCAACACCTTTCTCCACAAGGCATCTGACCATCTCAGTGTTACATCGTTCAGCTGCTCTCTGCAAAACTGATGTCCAGAATGTATCTGGTATATTTAAATCAACACATTTCTCCACAAGGCATCTGACCATCTCAGTGTCACTACAGTCAGCTGCACTCTGCAAAACTGATGTCCAGAATGTATCTGTTATTTTTACATCAACACCTTTTTCCACAAGGAATCTGACCATCTCAGTGTTACTGCGTTTAGCTGCCCTCTGCAAAACTGATGTCCAGAATGTATCTGGTATATTTACATAAACACCTTTCTCCAGAAGGAATCTGACCATCTCAGTGTTACTGCGTTTAGCTGCCCTCTGCAAAACTGATGTCCAGAACGTATCTGGTATGTTTACATCAACACCTTTCTCCACAAGGAATCTGATCATCTCAGTGTTTCCACGTGCAGCTGCCCTCTGCAAAACTGATTTCCAGAGTGTATCTGTTATGTTTACATCAAAACCTTTCTCCACAAGGAATCTGACCATCTCAGTGTTACCGAGTTCAGCTGCTCTCTGCAAAACTGATGTCCAGAATGTATCTGGTATATTTAAATCAACACATTTCTCCACAAGGCATCTGACCATCTCAGTGTCACTACAGTCAGCTGCCGTCCGCAAAACTGATGTCCAGAATGTATCTGTTATGTTTACATCAACACATATCTCCACAAGGAGTCTGACCATCTCAGTGTTACCACGTTCAGCTGCCCTCTGCAAAAATGATATCCAGAATGTATCTGTTATGCTTATATCAACACCTTTCTTCACAAGGAGCGTGATCACCTCAGTTTTACCACGTTCAGCTGCCCCCTGCAAAAATAATGTCCAGAATGTAGCTGTTATGTTTACATCAACACCTTTCTCCACAAGGAATCTGACCAGCTCAGTGTTACCACGTTCAGCTGCCCTCTGCAAAAATAATGTCCAGAATGTATCTGTTATGTTTACATCAACACCTTTCTCCACAAGGAATCTGACCATCTCAGTGTTACCGTGTTCAGCTGCCCTCTGCAAAACTGATTTCCAGAACGTATCTGTTATGCATACATCAACACCTTTCTCCACAAAGAATCTGACCATCTCAGTGTTACCGTGTTCAGCTGCACTTTGCAAAACTGATGTCCAGAACGTATCTGGTATGCTTACATCAACACCTTTCTCCACAAGGAATCTGATCATCTCAGTGTTTCCACGTTCAGCTGCCCTCTGCAAAACTGATGTCCAGAATGTATCTGGTATGTTTACATCAACACCTTTCTCCACAAGGAGTCTGACCATCTCAGTGTTACCGTGTTCAGCTGCACTCTGCAAAACTGATATCCAGAATGTATCTGGTATGCTTACATCAACACCTTTCTCCATAAGGAATCTGACCATCTCAGTGTTTCCACGTTCAGCTGCCCTCTGCAAAACTGATGTCCAGAATGTATCTGGTATGTTTACATCAACACCTTTCTCCACCAGGAATCTGACCATCTCAGTGTTATGACGTTCCACTTCCGTCCGCAAAAATGATGTCCAGAATGTATCTGTTATGCTTTCATCAACGCCTTTCTCCACAAGGAGCGTGACCATCTTAGTGTTACCACATTCAGCTGCCCTCTGCAAAACTGATGTCCAGAATGTATCTGTTATGTTTACATTAACACCTTTCTCCACAAAGAATCTGACCATCTCAGTGTTACCGAGTTCAGCTGCTCTCTGCAAAACTGATGTCCAGAATGTATCTGTTATGTTTACATCAACACATTTCTCCACCAGGAATCTGACCATCTCAGTGTTTCCACGTTCCACTTCCGTCCGCAAAAATGATGTCCAGAATGTATATGTTATGCTTTCATCAACGCCTTTCTCAACAAGGAATCTGACCATCTCAGTGTTTCCACGTTCAGCTGCCCTCTGCAAAACTGATGTCCAGAATGTATCTGGTATGTTTACATCAACACCTTTCTCCACAAGGAATCTGATCATCTCAGTGTTTCCACGTTCAGCTGCCCTCTGCAAAACTGATGTCCAGAATGTATCTGGTATGTTTACATCAACACCTTTCTCCACAAGGAATCTGATCATCTCAGTGTTTCCACGTTCAGCTGCCCTCTGCAAAACTGATGTCCAGAATGTATCTGTCATGTTTACATCAACACCTTTCTCCACAAGTAGCCTGATAATCTCATCGTTTCCACTGTCAGCTGCCTTACACAGGAGTTGGGTCCCATATGCCTCTGCCTCATGCACACTGGCACCTTTTTCTACCAAGTATTGAACAATTTCAATGTGACCATTTCTAGCCGCACACCAGAGGGGTTCGATCCCATATGTATCCATAATATTCACATCAACAACTTCCTCTCCCAAAGACTTCTCACTTTTAGTCTCTCTATTTTCAGCTGTAATGCAGGTATGTGAGTTCCAATATTCATCTGTAATAGTCACATCAGCACCTGTCTCTGCTAAATACTGGACAATGTCAGTGTGGCCATTTCGAGCAGCACAAAACAGGGGTGAGTGTCTGTTTTCATCTGTCACATTCACATCAGCACCTACCTCTACCAAAAACTTAACGATCTTCAAATGACCATTTTTAGCTGCAATGCACAGAGGCGACTCACAATTTTCATCATTTATATTCATATCCTCACCCTTCTCCACAAAGTACTGGACAATGTTGAGGTGACCTTTCTCAGCTGCATTACACAGAGCGGACTTCACAAAGTCCTCTACGTGGTTATCAGTTTGGAAAGATATGTTTTCAAAGAAATATCTGAAAACTTTCAGATGACCATGCTCAGCAGCACAGTAAATAAGGGACTTCAAACTGTCAATGGTAACATGTACTTCCGTATCTCGAATAACACATTTGTTTACGTTGGAAAATTGTAGTAAATATGTCAATAAATCTACGGTGCCTGATTTCACAATCATTTGTAGAGAGGTTGTGTTTTTGTTATTTACATCCAGTAACGAATATCCATGGTGCTGCAACACTGCTATCATCTTAGCTTTGTTGTGTTGATCTATGGCAACATCTGTGGTGGTATGACATCTTTGTAGTGTACAGATCAGAGCAGACACGGCAACGTGCATTGGATATTCGCATTGTAAACCCTGTTCTTTGATTGCCATTATTAACCTGTCTATAGGGGGAATATTTTCTGCTTCTACAGCCAGTGTCAGGGCTGATTTTCCAGTTAGCGTTTTGTCAGTTATATTTGACTTCCACATCAGTGCAATGTGCACTTTTTCGGAACTGTGAAACGAGGATAGTGCCGCATAATGCAGAGGTGTAAAGCCATATGTATCTCCAGGAGAGGGATTTCCACAAAGCCGATACAGGAAATCCAAAGTTTGCTCGGATCCAAACTTTGCTGCAAGATGAAGTGGTGTCTGCTGACATTTATTTTTGCAGTGAGCGTTACCTCCATGGTGAAAAGCAGCCTCCAAAGCTGAGGTATCATTACATCCTGCAGATAGGAGAACACAGTCATCGGTAACATCTCCCATTTCCACATCATTCAGCAATATCAATATGTCCTTTAAATTGAACTGTTCATCTTGTCCATTCGTTGTTAGAAGAAATGTAGGAATTGCATTATGAAATTGCAACAGTATTTGTCTAAACGTCCATTGCATTCTTTTTGGTTCCAATATCATTCTGATTAATCTCTTGAAAAAGTTGAATTGTTGGCGTTCTATGCACAGTGATAACATATTTTGTAGGGTGTCCATGTCTGAATCAGTTTCGTTCATGCAACCAAGAGCCAGATCAAAGAGTCCTTCATGTGCTTTCTCAGCTGCACATGCCGCTATAAAGCATTCTGTTGTTAGCCCAGCATCTTGTTCAATTAGAACTGCCACCTTTTCAGAGTTTGATTTATAAAATGAACAGACAAACATACTGTTTCTTGTCTTTTCATAATGGTCAGTGTCCGTTGCCTTTTGTGAATTGAGCAAATGAAGTGCCAAATCATATGCTCCAGCCATAGTGAGATATGAAGTGATGGATTCATATTCAAATAACTTGAAAGTGGTTTGCTGCAATGGTAGGACCCCCTGGGTGTCCTGGGTGAATATGTTGGTCAGGACTTCCATTGTTTCTTCTGTGAAGTATATGGTTGCAGTAACTACCTGTTTCTCTACTGGGTGTGCTGCTATTCGGGCTTTTATTTCCACATCCCAGTAGGATTTTGTCAGAAAGGAAATGAAGTCAGTATCCTTCAAACATGGGTGAGCAGTTACCAACTGACAGTTGTCAGACAAAAGTTCTTTTGTAATCCTCTCAGCAAGAATATCAAACATATCTTCTGAAACTATTACAATCCAATCACTACGATACCTTTTGTCAGCTGCAGGTTTTGTTCTGACATATTCGAGCAGAGTACTTGTGGAACACATTTGAATTCCCTGTGACAAGCTGTCTTTGCAAAATTCAAGGAATATGACATCATAAATGCAGCGATGTAGGAATGTAAAGTGTTTGTTACTTGCATTCCAGGATAGGTATACTGAACACAAACTGCGTGCTACTTCTTCTATTTTGCGAAGAGTTGGTGTTTGATTCACTGTGCATATTTGAACTACATTATCCAGAATGTATTCATCCACAGTTTGCCTTCGAAAAGGGTCAAAAACTTTTCTTGGCAATACCCCGTCATAAAACATCACGAGTAATAAAACTAGGTATGACAGAGGGTCTTTGTCACGCATGATCCTTACAGAGTCTGCCAAGTACATCATTGGTTCAGTAAAGAAAGCAACACTTTCAGAATGTTTCAGTTTGCTGGTGGCGTACAGATAGCAACATTGTGGGAATCCTAACAGTTGGTCTGTTTGTATGATCTGATTCTTCTGTTCTGCAGTAAGCGTAAGGTCTTTTGCAAAAGTGTTGATATGATTTTCTAAAACACGAAGCTTCTCTTCTTCTGAAAAACCCAAAGTAAATTCTCTTGCAGAATAGTTCTTGAACATTGTATACGTTAAGAGATGGGATTTACAAAGTTGAAAGATATTTGTTCTGGAAACTATAATAAGAGACACAATTCCTGCTTCTACCAGCGGCATCATCATGGGAAACTTTTTCTCCCACCTGGTCTGAAGATCCTGTACCAGATTTGTCTGTCCAAATATGTCATCAATGAGTACAACATACTTCTGTTTCGATTTACGAGATGCAGGAATAAGATCCCACTGACCAGGGTCCGTCAATATCAGTGGTGTGTGGGAATGTTTCGATGAAAAAACCTTCAGCAGAAACAAAGATGCTGTTGTCTTCCCTTCACCGGATCGTCCAGTGATTATCATCCTTCCATGACGCAGCAAGTGATTCTGAAGCTGACTGATTGCATCAGTTTTGACAAGTAGTCGCTCGTCAATGTCGAGAAGTCTGAGTTTGCTCTGGTCTGAAAAATGCAAATTACATGAATAGACAAATTACAAAAATACGATATATGTATAATATCTGACATCATATGTTTTGGTATGATTTATTTGTTGTTAAACGTCATGCTCAGCAATGTCCCAGCTCTATTGTAAATAATCATGTCTGGACCAGACAGTTCAGTGATTCACAACATGAGGATTGTTCCAAGCAATTTGGGCACGATGACATAGAATGAACATTGTCACAATTCGATTAATTTATTTCGTCACCTTTTACAACAGGTATAGGTTGCTGGGGACCTTTATCCTTACCCGGAATCCCCACAGGTTAGTAATAATAATAGCATCAGATGAATAAAACTCACCTATGATTGAGTCCAACACAGATGTGTCCCCTCCTGAATAATAAGTTAGAAATCATGTATCAAACATAAACGTACTCAGATTCGTACACAGATTCTAATGAGCTCACTCACTCCCAAAACGAAAGGAAGAAACACACACAATTCACAAGGCAAATACAGGATTTAGAAATATATAAAATCAAATAGATATGTTAACAATAGTGCTACGGCACTGAAGCTCACCTGGATATGTCAACAGTATACATGTCAACGAATAGAGAGTCTCACCTCTTGTCTTTTGATATCAAATATATCAACTCGTGTGGAAAAACTCTGAAGCATGCCGAGGAGTTTTCCCACTTTTATCAACTTTTTTCAGTTTGTAGACAGTAATAAGCTCTGTCTTAAGTGTAAAACATTACTGGTAACAGCTTAAGTAGCAGAGCCATTTGTGAAGTAACTTCACCAATGACGTCACAGTGGTCTGCAAAGAATTGTGATGGAATTTCATTGCATCAATATCTACAAATGTAGATATAGCTTGAACTTACCCAAGCTATATCTCCCGGGAGCCAGTTATGGATGATAAAGACAATTAAAAGACATTTAATAATATTCCCCCCAAAATAGTATTTAAAATTGGAACGTATGTGTTGAACCATACATATGCCAAATTTACTTACATTTTGAACAAACAAGATTGAGTAATAGAAGTTTCAGCTTGCAGGATGGTCAAAGTGCAAAGGTAAAATATACAGAAAAAATGTTAAGCGCACCCTAATGTATTTCTTTACCGTTTGGTCCCAATTTTTGTAACAGTCATGAAACATAAAATTACGGGAAGAATTATGTTTTCTCGAGATGTTGTAGTCAGTCATGCGTGACGAAAGCTCACGTGCCATGCATGGTATGCTCGTGCAGCATGCTACCTTCGAGTATCTCATGACACGAAGGCGTTTATCAAACGACACAAGATGGCAAATAGTCGGCATAACGCAGGAATGTATTGTAATGCCATTGGTCGGAATTTGGGGTATTATCACTGTCGTAAGCCGTTTGGTCGAGAAACATCCTCATACCGGCGATGTACAGGACCTTTACGCCGAGAACCCTTTTAACAAGTACTCGTCTGAAACAGCTGTGGTTGCCCAATCGTCGGTTCAGAACCAGAACCGTCAGGAACCGGCTGAAAGCAGCAGGACTGAGGGCTAGATGAATCATACAGCGTCCCTTGAGATCACCACCGCTCGTTAAGCATGAGCCGCTCGTTTAGCATGGTTTATTGCGTGACAGAACAGGAATCGGAGACTTTGGAGACGGATCCATTGGTCAGACGAAAGTCGCTTCCTGCTCCACGTTACTGATGGAGGAACGAGAGTTTGGAGGCACCGGAATATGGCCTACATCCCCAGGATCATTAAACCGACTGTTGCATACGGCGGGGGCTCGGTAATGGTTTGGGGGTTTATCTCTCGTGATTGCAGGTTGGATTTGGTCCCCACAAGGGGCAACTTAAGAGGGGCTCAGTACATCCGGGACGTTTTGAGGCCAGTCGTCGCTCCTCATTTTGACAACCACCCTCTTGCAACTCGACCTCAGTACATGGATGACAATGCCAGGCCTCATCGTTAGCATGCAGTCGTGGTTTACATGAGGGCCAATTCAATAACCCTGGCCAGCAATGAGCCAAGATTTGAACCCCCTTGAACATGTTTGGGGTATTCTGGGCCGGCACATACAGGCACGAGATCATCCTGTACACAATTAACGCCCATTGGAAGCAGCATTGCATCAGGAGTGGTTGTTGTTGACCCATCAACAGATCCAACGTCTGACTGGAGGCATGAGACGTAGGGTAGAATGCGTCATCCGGGCACGTGGCGGTTATATACGCTAATAATCTGTTTCACATGTCATGTCATGTAGAGACTTTAAGAAACATTTTAACATGAAACGTAACTCATTTAAATAATCCTGCAGCTCCATACTTTTTTCGAGGTATTGGCTAAGTTAAAAAAAAGTATCTGTGTTACCATGATGTTTTTGTCAGTAAATTTTAATCACAATTCACTAATATATAATCTTTATTTGTTGTCAAATGTTTGTTCTATCCGATGAAATTGGTATTGCCCAGCTCCTGTGGTCAGTCATCCCTTGCCATGATTTTTGCCATTTGTCATGGTTCAGAAATAGGGGTGTGCTTAACCTTTTTCTTTGTGTATATTTTAAAGCGTAAAATATCGCAAAGGTAGAGCACATATATCGTACCATACTACTAACTACACGTGCAAAATTTTATTCCATTTTGAAAACAAAATGCTGTGCAATAGCCTATTTGAACCTTCATAATTTGTCATCATGTGTCGTCATTAGTGGAAACACATCAAAGTAGTTTCAGCTTCATTGGTCTTGTGATTTCTGAGAAGCAGTTCACGACGTACAAATAGGCCACGACAAAAGCTTACTTGACTTTTAGACAGGTATATGGTATTCAAAGTAGACGTCTACCATGTCATTTTAAAATGCTACATTCTGACTGATCCACTAGCAGTATCGAATCTACGTAAGACAATGACTGACTGCGGAAGTAAAACATCTCTAGGATGTTCCTGATCTGAAGAAATACTAACGTGGATTATAATTACAAAATAATGTTGCTGACCTTTGTTTTCCTTGAATGTGACATTCACGCCAGTATTTCCACTGAGATTGAAAACATTGTGAGAGTTCCCTCCCTTGGTGTTAAAGACAGTGTCCTCTGGAATCTGCACATCACAATCCTCTTCTTGAGGAAGTAAAACAACAGTGATTATTTGATTGGTACATTGTGTACAATTAAGGTACAACTGCCACATGAACATTTTGTCAAGAACAGTGATTTTCTGTATGATGAATCACATTTCCGAATATACTGATTATAACATCAGGCTTCATAACCAATAACAATGGAATACGATAAGACAACCTGTTTAAAGATTTCTGTTATACATAAGGTGCCACAATACATTGTGATTTTATTAAGTTTTATGGTCCTGGCGACATTGTGAGTACTTACTTCCAAAGTGCAAGACTCTTCCATCAAGGGCATTTCCACCAACTGTCAACAACCTGCGACCTTCACATAGTTGATTTGTTGGCAGATTCCGGGGAGGAGTATGGACAATGTCTAAAGACACTGCAGCTTCTCCACTGTCAGAGTCACTGCGTGTCTCACAGGCGGAGGTTTCATCATCCTTCACAGGGACTGTTTTGTCTCCACTTTCAGGCTGACTTTCTACTGACATATCACTGTCGTCCTTTTCATCATCATCTTCCTCAGATAGGACGACATCAGGGTCTTCATACCATTCAGGATCCATGGAAAGGACTTCCTGATGACATACAATCTAACATTAATTTGTTACAAGAATAGGTTGTTGTTTTCTGTTAGATCTGTCATTCCTTCTCAATTTTTTTCGCAAAGACAATATCTTGGCTCTTTGGAGTTTTGCTTGTTTGTTCTTTCAAGCCAAACTCTATATTTCAACTAAATAAGAGTGGTCTGTAAATAATGGAGTCGCCTCTTACGACAAGCCTAGAATTTGACTTTCTCTTTCTTGCGTCCACACTAACTAATCATGATGGCTCATTGTCATAGCTAAGTACATGCAGAATTAGTGTATTATGTATTGTTCTAGACATAGTTGCTGAATTTACAATGCCGACAGAGTATTTTCGTTAGTCGCTATGTTCTAGCATTAAATTATTATAGGTTTATCCTGATGTTATTACGATTTAAAATAATTATTTCTCCCTATTTAAGAGTTTTTTTCACTTCCGTTTATGAAATTCAACACGACCAAGTGCAACTGTACGCCAGCGAAGACGATGTGCATTTTGTCAAGAGTTCAAATGTCTTTTCTACAGCGTGAAGAGTTACACCTCATGATTGTATGTACTATACATAATGTGACGAAGAACATTTCGTATATGTCAGTCATTATTTTCTAGTGAAAGTTCATTTTATTAATTAAGCTGTGATATACAGACTGGTTCATTATTGCAGCGCATTATTTTGTTTCTCCCATAACAAGGCTTGATCTTCAATCGCCAGCAGTGGTTTATTCGCAGTGGTTTATTTTTTTCACCCAATCTGATTGGCTGGCTGAGAGTGGAGAGTTGTGTCATCGCGTTTTGATTGGCTGGCTAAAAATAATTGACGGCAGTATTTTCGGATCGTGGGTTACCCGAGGTCGTCTAGTACAGGAAATCCCCAGCTGGCAAAACATTACCGTAGTGACAATGTTTCCATCTCCGAAAGTTGGTGACCGAGAGAAAATTTGTGGGGGTAGAAGGGGTGTGATATGTGGAGATATATCAGAGAATTTCAGCTTCCCAATATACCAGATTCAGTTGCAGAATGAGAAGACGGTAACCGAAGCGAGATACCGCATCGATACTACGGGACCAGGTGAGCAACTACGGTACATTCTTTCCTGGGTGTTTTCAAAGCTAATATAAAAGCTTATGAAACAGTTAATTAATTCATGTAAAAATACCGATGAAATAGTGAAACAAACCACATTGTTTGGTATTTTTTTTAAAAATAACTATCAACCACATAATATATGTGACGTTATAACGAAGTGTTGATCTACAGCCGATCGATCAAAACCATATTTCATGGTTATATTAAAATAATCGAGACTTATATTTCATATTTTAAGAAAATAAACACTCAGATAATTTGGATCTAAAGCAATACTCAATTTTAATGCAGGAAGCGATCAATCTTTGCCGGACGGACCGTACATCTCACGACCAAGATGTTTTGCAACCACAGCAGTTGTTTCCCCTTTCAACAGGTGGAGTTTATCCAGATCAATATCAATCTCATTAAAATCAGATCTTAGTTTTCTTTAGTTCCCGCTATCGCTAAACAAAGCTTTGTTTAGCGATAGCGAGAACTAAGATCTGATTTTAATGAGATTGGATCAAGATAATTAATGTATTTTGGCCTATAATTATTTGGTATTTTTTAAACATGAAGACTTCAATTATTTAAACATACTATCTCAGGACAATTAAGAAACTCATTATGAAAAAACAACATTACCCCGTTCAAACTTGAATGTATTAAGTCTTACCTAAATCTAAATAAACTTTTCTTAACTATTTTGATTTAGCATAGGGAGCAGACAAAATTATGAAGATAAAGATGGTGGGCACCAATCAACCTTATTATGTATTTTTTTCAAAAACATATTTTTTCAACAATGATGTACATTTATGCATCTTAAAATATATTTTGTATTTTAGATAGGATGAAACAATCTCAAAATTAATATCATATCATTAGTTTTAGGTAGACGCTCTAGATCACAGTTAATTATTTTCAGAATTAACACACAATACAGAGTATTAAGACATGTAGAAATAGGTTTGTCTGAAGTATATTCTTTAAACCAAAGATTTATTATTTACCATGATTACTGAAAAAAACACTTCTTTAATAATGCAATTGTTATATTATCATAGCCGATAAGGACCCCAATATGCATAGCTAGCTTAATTTTAATGATAATTATTAAGCATTTCTTGGGATGATATACTGGACATATGACAAAATAAGAAATGTATTTTTATTTCTTATTCTCCCATAACAAAGTTTACAGTGGTTTATTTTTTTCACATCATCTAATTGGGGGCCTGGGAGTGGAAAGCTGTGTCGCTATTTTAATCAGAGACCTTAAATTATTCTAATGTGTAAATTTTCAGGACATGGTAAGTAAAGAAAAACTCAAATCTATGGGTGCTGAAGAAATTACCAACAAGAGGTCATCTTATAACATTTTACCATAAACCTCATTTCTTTACATCAGCTATGTCTAATTTTAATTTTAATACTTTTTACTAAAAACATCACATATGAACAGGTCACTAAATACATGTTTATTATAATGTCTTGTTTTCATGAAGTTAAAAGAAGAACATGTTAATTTTAAATTACATATCATCAGTAAATCTTAACTTCTAATCTCATAAAATAACAAAAGACTAAAGTTTTGAGGTAACTGTTGCAGTAAAATAACAATGTAAACTTACAAGGGTATTAAAATGCAAATATTTGTAGAACTGCTGAAACGATAATTTATTGTTTACATATATCCTATGTATTTATGTTTCACACACAATAAATTATTGTGCTTGTCAAATTCACACTGTTTCTTGTCATTCACAAATATGGGGAAATTAGATGACTCATTTAGTAACACTTTTGGTGTCATGATGTTAAAATATTATGTTCAAAAGAATAACTGTCCACTGAATAAGTTTTTTTTATACAATAAAAACACATGTGCTCACCATGTTCAGGAACAAAAAAAAAGAAAAGATGACATGAATAATAATCATTTTACATATTAAATTATTCACTGTAAAATAAGTTTAAAAGAGGAAGATTACAACCCATTGATGAATTTGAGAAGATGTAATCAGCTGATTAGTTGCCTGAGTTGGTGTTTATAGAATCTTGCCTGATCAATCCTCCTGACAGTTCCTTTGGGCCCTTGTTTTTTGTTAACAATATTTCACAATATATAAAACAATATTTAATTTCCTCTTAATTGGGTTTATAACATTTGTTTCTAGCGAACAAATAAATGAATAACGTATTTACATACACTAAAACGGTGGTCCTATTTAGTGTCGCGTATTGAGAATGACAGTCACGGCGAGACGAATGCAAATAAAGTTATGGGCCGAGTAATCCAAAACCATTAACAAATATCAAATCACATTACTAATTCTCAAAACGTTACTCCCATCAGCTTTTAATAGTTAACAAAAAACATAACATGAATGCTAACAAGTGGCTTACCTGTCACGGAAAACTCGGGTGAGTTGTCTTCGCTAGATCCTTTTTACCTGTTTATGGTGCAGTTGTCTTACTGAGCATATTCGAAAACGAGGCTGGGGGGAATCCCGAGTGGTTACTTAACACGGGAACTCTTCAACTACGAGCTCGACTTTTTATGGCGTAGTGTTATGGGAGAAATAGGCTTAACCACTGTGTTCGGTTGTTACCGAAACATCTACACTCGTGATTAATCTGCCACAATTAGAACTCGACAAAGCCTCATTCTAATCGTGACAGATTAATCACTCATATGTAGATTTTTCGGTAACAACCGAACCCAACGGTTAATCCTCCATATAAACATCTCATTCATTTGGAATTATGTAATATATCACTGCGATAAGAGATGGTGTACTATCAGGAAGTATCATACGCTTCTGATAGTGAAATTCTATTTGTAACCTGTTACCCCTTTCCCTGATAATGGACAGGACTGCAGTGACTTGACTGCCTTGTGTCTGTAGTGTTTGAGAAATCATATTTTACAAGCGCTTGATGTCAGTTTCTTTTCTGTAGGAAAACGCAGGGTCATGAGAGCAATACTTTACAGGCGCTTCAGAGAATGTATAGATTTAGCCAACGTGAAATATGACATATAAAATGTGATAAGACAGAGATTTATTAAAGCTAGTGTTGCTGTTGTCGAAGTAAATACGAAGATCAACATGTGAAAAGATTAAATGTATAGCAGATGTTGATTATTTGTATTATACAGATATGGTATATGGTCTCTGAGTATACGAAGTCATCACTGTTGTACCATTGTTGACCGATCATGAGCATCACTACAAACACAAGACCACTGTTATGTATTGATCTCTTTGGACGTCAGCACGAACGTACACCACGTTCACCAATTGCAATTGTTTGATTGAATGGTTAATAAGTTTGTGTATCTAAACTGGAAAACAGTCAATCCTTCTGAAAAGTAAATTTCATCAGTGAAATATTTTTCATGAATTTTTTTTTTATCATAGCACCAAAAAGTCAAAATGGCATGGATATCCAGGAAACAAAGGCGCACATACATTTCTTCAATATTAAAATAGATGAACATCTGCTTGCCATTAAAGGGACTGAGGCATGGCTTTATGAATGAGGTGCGGGATACTGTAGGCTGCCCATACGTGTAATGTAATATGATAGGTGGCTCTCTGACAGTGATTATCTTTATCATACCAAAGTGGCAAGTAGACAAGAGAAATAGACTTTCACAAGTCTCTAAGGCAGCAATCAACCTTTTAAATAATAATTCCTAGATTAAATAAATAATAATAAGTTGTCCTGTAAAAGACTTGCATCCTCATACTGACCGATTATCTAGACTTGCCTATTATAAGGATAGAACAACCTACACCCATGGACTTATCATTCAATACTAGGAGCAAGGCTAACAGCAGACAGTGGGGTAGACTAACATTTAGTCTCTGAAACTTATATAAAAAATATCCTTCTTTAAAATAAAAATCCCCTATGCTGTGGAATAGAGCTACCTGGAGCTGGCTAGACTTGCTTTTGTATGCGTTTCTAGATTATTATTTTTTCCATAAAATAAATATATTCCACAGTCATGGTGCAGGACTAACAGTGGGGAGATGCTTGAGATTGGGAGACAGGCAGCAGAAGCAAGCTCCCACTGTGTATAAACAAAGAGGTCATTCCAGCCATCATAGTCCCCTCGCCCTTATCAGTAGATTCCAAATCTCATGTCTGCCTGTCACTTACATTTTGATAAACTATTAGCAACAACTTGAAGCAAATTCCACCGTTCTCGGTCTTTAAAGAACTATTATGCTTGGTGTTTGTCGGAACTTGACCCTCCGAAAGCAGCAAGGCACGATGGCAAAGTGACGATTCTAAGATTCCGTCTGACCACATCTGTCCAATTATCGTTATGTAGCTGCATTTGTTACGTGACGAATAGATTGTTGTGTTTTTGGAGAGAGAGATATCCCGAACCATTTAGCGCGGGATACCAAGCAATAGTTTTTGCGTTTGTATTTCCATTATCCTAAGCAAATTATGCCATGCATACTTCACGGTTTAATAAGCAGTCGGTGAAGTTATTATTGTTACCTATTCATTTATAAGAACTGACTATTGGCACATAAATGTTTAATGTTGGATTTGTGTAAAGATGTAAACAAAGGCAATTTCTATTCAGAGACCATATACCACACTAAAGTATGACCGCCACTGTTGCTATTCTGAAATGCGTCCGACTCGTAAATCACGCAAGGCGACATTGTCGTAAAACATGTACCCGCACACAACAATCTTTTGATCGGTGTCCATTTCACCCAGGTGTAGTGTTTAGTCCCTTAGCCGGTTTTTGAGTTGGTTATTCTTGGTCCTATCAGTGACCATATACCGATATGGTCTCTGGTCATATTTGTAAATATCACCACACAAAATCTTCATTACTTTAGACAAAACACAGAGAACCAAGTTTATAACAACTTACCTCCGTGCTCAACAGTGTGAGCCTAGTTCGACGACAGATATACAGCAGCCATATTTGAGGAAAAGAAAGCAGCCCTACGATAGTTACCGCCCTTTGATACCTGAATTTAGCTCTTTGTAATATACTTACACACTATTATATAACATATGTTACATATACACAATTATATTAATAACAGACGAGAATTTACATTTAAATTTATAAACTGTTACAGTGTTTAATTATAAAGTGTGTTTTGAACTTCGAAAATACGTTTCCACTGAAAATATGAAATGTGTTATTCAGGTTGTCCTAATCTTCACAACTCCAACTAGCTAAACAGGCCGAAGTATTGTTCGTTTTGAAACGTCGGTCACAGTGACTTGGGAGTTATTATTGTATTTTGTCAGCCACTCACCATATACAAGTTATTGTGTATGAGCGGAGCATTTAATACATTGTAATATATATGACCAACCATGAGATGAGGGGGGTCATGGGTGAAAAGTAACTTTTTGACTTTTCATTCTATTTTAAAACTACAGTATCTCAGGGACACAAAAGTACAATTCACAAGCTTCAATTCATACTTAAAACAGAGTTACATGTCATCAAAAAAGTCCCATTTTATGTAATAATAGCAGTTTTAATTATTATGTCGGATTAACTGAACGTAGACATGAATGCTGACATGTATTGCTAATGTTTCTATTTCATTACGAACGAAAGAAAAATATAATATTTTGTACAGTCTGAACGCATGGCCATTTTAAGGGAATTTTTCAGGGAATTAAGTTGATAAAATGTCTTCCTCTATGGCGTCACATCACACTTGTATCCTAACACCCATAAGGTCCCTTTTCGACTGGTGGGTCACATATATTTCAGTGTTTTCAGAGATGAAAGATAGGGCAACATAAAACAGTACATCAGTAACGCTGCGTTCAAAATTATACACTTATACAGCGACATGCATGCATGAATGCGTGTGTGTGTGTGTGTGTGTGTGTGTGTGTGTGTGTGTGTGTGTGTGTGTGTGTGTGTGTGTGTGCAGGCAGGGTAACAGCGAGTACCGTCTTTTAATGTCTGTTGGTATGACGCGGGCGGGTATCGAACCCCAGAACTAATTCGGATCCCCATATAGTGGACAATTGCTAGGAAAAAAATAAATTATGAGTTTGGAGTCTTTTAAAAATTCAGTCAGCCCGAACATACAGCTTAAAAACTCAAAGGAACAAATTGAACTTTTAAAGTCTGTGCTTTTAACTTTCGGACGGATAAATAAGAAGACAATCTCAATTACTTTGCCTTTAAGTATATTTATTTATAAATTCATTAAGATTTTAGAAATTCAGTGACAGTTCTCAATTGAAATACATACATACACATTCAAAGTTTGAGGTCGTCATAAACTACCAAATTCTAAAAATATCAATCTAAAACTTCAAGGAAAGTACTGTCAATTTCAGTAGACAAACGTGTTGACCATACATCAGGTAGACCATTACTCTATATACAGGTAGGATTGTCTTTGTTGAAGCCGGGGCGGTCGGGTAGGCTAGTGGTTAAAGCGTTCGCTCGTCAAGCCGAAAACCCGGGTTCGATTCCCGACATGGGTACAATGTGTGAAGCCCATTTCTGGTGTCCCCCGCCGTGATATTGCTGGAATATTGCTAAAAGTGGTGTAACACCATGCTCACTCACTCACTTTGTTGAAGCCGACCTCATGGAAGCGGAAGTTTAGCCTTTGGTCTGTACATACTGGAGGTCGTCGTTAGCAGACAATGCTTTCCCCAGCAAAGTAATGTCACCGAAGTCCTAGACTAACATATAGTCTCTGAAATGAACATATCGTACAGAAAAAAACAGTTGTTCAGTTATCTTAATAAAAATCTAATAAAAAGGGAGCCCAGTGATTCTCTTCATTTTCACTGCAGTAATATAGACTTGCCAAACATTATAGACTTGCATGGGCTGTAGTTGATATAAATGTATCAGGGTCTGTAAGACAGACTAACCGAAGTCCCTTAAGTGCAGCTTGTACTGATCGTTAGAGTGTAAATATGGACACTTCAAACTACTTGAAACTAATCTTGGTATATTGAGGTCATAAACACGTGAAGCTTCGTGGCAACTTTTATCATTGTGAAATGGAGATAAACCATTGGCTAAGGGAAGAGCGCGTCGGTAGGAGTTAAAAAAGGAGGCAGCCCTGTCGTGTAATATTTCAAGCAGTGGTGCAATACATGTCAGCTGGGAAATACCCTCGCAATAACCATAACAAAGTCTTCCGTCTCCCGGAGTAGTTGACACAGAGTAAAGCTTGAGTAAACATAATGTGAAACCAGCTCGCACGGCTAGACTGCCCAGTTAGGTTAAGCAAGCTGAGGATTTTCTTTCATAATTATTTGTAAAACAATCTTTGAAGTAAGCAAATAGTATAAATATGTAGACATTTATTGATGCTGAGGGATGGAGGGCGTATTTGTCTGGTATTTATTTTAATCTAAAACAGATAGCCTCCTTCTCAGGACCCACTAAACTATCATTTTGTCAAGAAGGAGGACAAATTTGATATCGGATTACACCACATTAAAAAGGGTCTTGCTTCACAAGACGCCTATTCGCTTCAGAGGCCTTTGAGGTCTAAGTTCAAGCACAACAGATTGGTGGCTACAGGTTTGAATGCTCGGTGGGATATAGACTTAGCAGACGTGTCTAACATAGCTTCGGACAATGATGGTGTCACGTACTTGTTAATAGCAATCAATATTTTTTCAAGATATGTATGGGTGGAACCCATGAAAAACAAGACCCCAGACTCTGTGGTCAAAACCATGAGGAAAAATATTTGCAACCGCACCTCTGCCCAAGATCATAAGGGCGGATAAAGGCCGTGAATGCAACAACAGAAAAGTGAAAAGTAAAGGTAGTTTAAATACTTCCCCTGCCATCCCTGACAGGAAACTGTATTGGCAGGTACTCCATGCTGGTTTGGAATGCTCAATTCCACTGGCCACAACACTCTTAATAATTTACATGGTGATTTGATGAAGTTTGACATTTCAATAATCGAGTTACCAAAATATTTATTTGTGACTGAGTGATTTGTGTTTTACACCGCTTAGGACCCAAGCGAATACAAATTTATATAGCACTATATATATTATTCAGACAAACGTAGGATTCTAACCCACAACATGACACCATATTAACATGTGATTACCTAACATCCATAAATGAGTGAAATGTATATTCATTTGTCTCATGTTGCCCTATATTTCATCTCCCAATGACACTGGTTGCGCTATATTTCATCTCCAAATGACACTGGTTGCCCTATATTTCATCTCCCAATGACACTGTGTATAACATATGTTACAATGTATTAAATGCTCTCCTCGGTTACTTGTATATGGCGGAGACTATCTGGTATCAACTGGTATGACTTTGTATATGCTGACATCTAACACCACGCAATAGTTATTCACAGGTCACTGTGACCGACGGTTCAATACGAGCAATACGTCAATCGTTTTCGCAATTGACGGAAAGAACAAATGGCAGTCACATGAATACAACCTGAATAACACTTTTCATATTTTCACAGCTTAATGGAAACTTTAGATTTAAGTCTTAGACCGTTTCGGGTTTAACAACATTTTAATATGTTTGTGAGTGTAAATGCACATTCTCGGCTGTTACATAAGAACGTGTACATATATTATTACAAGCAAAACTCAGGTGTCAAAGGGAGGTAACTACAGAAGGGCTGTCTGTTCTATTCTTATATATAATGGAGTATGATCACACCATGTCAGGTATGTGTTGTTGATATACATACGGGTCTTTGTGTATTGTCTAACGTAATGAAGACTTGTTTGAGTAATATTTACGAATATGACAAAATATTAACTAACTGAAGCCCAGTAGCCACACCTATTGTCGCTTTGAATGTTGTTAATACAATGCTGCGAGATATTGCGCATGAATAGTATCGATCGTGTTTTCGAAATCGCTATTCATTACGTCAATTGTTGCTCTCCTTTTTAAAAATGGGAGGCTTTTCCTACTTTCAATATATTGTTGGTTGCTAGGCGGAGTGGACTGAATTTTGCTTGAGGTTGTTGTTACAAAAATAAACATACGGGTTGAAGCTACAACCAGGATAGGGTGGGTGTGGAAACAAGATACTTTCACATATTGGCTTCACGCTGGTCACTTGCATCTGTTGTCACTATTTTCCACGTTTGTTTACTTAAATTGTATCCTCAGATTGTAATCACATTTCGATGTGATTGATTAGCCATTCTGATTTGTGAAACGTAGTTACGAGCAGAGACGAATTGATACGATATCTAAATGCATTGCGTGTTCATGTTTCGTGCAGCAGTTCGATAATGCAATATCATGTCGGGGGGCACCACGGAAGGGCCTCACGCCCGGACCTTAAGCGTGACGTGCGAACACTTCAATCTCTAGGCTACCCTACCTGTTTTGATAATGGAAACAGAACAGAATAATTCTTGATTTGAAAATACATTTGTTTCTTATTATCACGTTTGATGTTCATTACGTTCATGTATTAAACAAAACATGTATATTCTTTGTTTCGGTTGCTCTGAATGTTGAACATAATGATCATGCAGTGAGCTTGCAATGAAAGTGGTCTGGAACTAACTTTCAAAGTAACCATTAACACTGTGCTTTGATTGCGATTGAAATGTTTACTTGAATAATATTTTCTATCTTTTTTTCAAAGTTGATAGGAGTGTCTTCAAGAATATAACAACCCAAAAATATTTAATGTACGGGGACTGCAGATGCCTGCTTGTATTTACCATTAAGCAATGTCCATGATTCATGCCAGAAATTGTGTGGGGCGACTAGGCATTTAGCCTTAAGGTAGTTCGTTTTTCATAACGAACCTGTTTTTTTTATAAATATTTGTAAACATTGTCGTTGCTGTTACAATAGCATAAAATAATGTAAACAAATGATTGTTTTAATTAGACAGAATATTGTTTTCAATCAGCGTTTCAAGATATACATTTGTATTTTGCTTTCTCTGAAAGGACGGTCTAAACCATTTTGGGTACACAAAACCACATGATGTTTAAGAACATCCAGAATGTCAAATTGTGTTTTCTACCATTTTCGGGAACAGATTAAATTATCATAATATCATTTGTTGGGCCCCTAACCATGAAATGTATTCATTGTAGGAGAGGGATAGTATTGCCTCAGAATGGATGCGCCAGACGGTACACTGCAACCTGCTGGATGTACGAGTACGGCACATGGGGAAAGTGAGGACAGCATTCCAACAGACGCTACAGGGGGAGATTCGTCGAGACAGTCGGGTGCACATGCAGGTAAGCATGTTAGAAGTGGAAGTACCTTGACCCTGCATCTCCACATTTGCTGCTAGTAACTTATCAACAAAAATAACATAAGATATATCAACGATGTAGTGGGAATTTACTTAAGTCAAACGTATTATTCAATGAATTAAACCTTTATTTTGTATACACGGTTTGTACGTGTGCTACACGTGGCCATATACGTCTTGATCATATTGGTGGGTTGAAGTTTACTATTGTAATCAAAAGTGCCATATTGGTTACACTGTTACTGTTACGATATATTATTCAATCAAGGATTTTACTTAATAATTATGAAACGTATTTTGTGGATTTTATTTACAGTCCCAACATCTATCACAGTCATTGGTGCATCTCACAGTAATGTGAACCGGAACGTTGCCATAGGCATAAACTATGGGTCTGTTGTACAATCTGGCGGTAAGTCCGTTTACCACATGTCTGTAAGTCTTTAGTCAAGAAGAATGTAGGCCATCGGCCCATATTCACAGTGGTGGTTCATTATCATATGTTTGAAACATTGATATATTGTGGTTGCCAAGATAAACCATGTACACTAGGTAGTGTATTATTAAACCTGAAACTAACAAGAGTCTCTCAAATGGTTTGCATAGTAGACAAACATGGCAGAGTGTTTGATGGCTTCATACAATTGATGTTGATAGGAGAATATTAACATTTTCTTATGAAGAAAATTATATTTTTCAGATACTAATATAATATAATATTAATCTTCTTCATAATTATTTTTGCAATGTATACACCACCTTTATTCTCTATGTATGTTGTAATAACAACCAGTCTCAACCTTAGATGGCATGAACTGCTACGAAATCTTGCTAGTACCAGTCTGAATTGAGAAAGAATGATTTATTTGGAGTAACCTGACCTCACTGCATGTTCACTTTTCTCTACCTTTGAAACTTTGACAGTAATGATCAAACGACGAAATGAGAAATCCTTTCAAATGTCTTTTTGGGGAAACAAAACAGTTCCTTTTTTGTAACAAACTACATATGTACATGGATTCCATAAGTTGAATCTTCCAATAAACCTAATTGGAATATTTTTTACTTATCCTGCATAACTCCTTAAAGGGGAAGTGTACACGCAAAAATCACTTTCTTTCTTTTTCTAAACAAAACGCAATTTTAGAATTAATTAGTATCTGTGTTTGAAAATATACACTCATTTTTTTCACAGTGAAAGTAGGAAGCTCACAATAGTGTGAAAATGATATGCCGTTATGAGGCCTTCGTTTTTCGAGCTAAACAGGCCTGAGTTATCCCCCTTAGATTATGACGTAATTGGTGCTAATTCAACTGGGTCCCTGTCTATTCTCAACGCAAAAGATATCAAGTACCAGTTTGCAGTAAAACAACATGGCCTACGACACACTCCGGCGCAGTGGTGACTCAGCATAACACTATGCTGGCTGGCATCTGAGACGCTAGAATCACACACTTGGACCTACACCACGTGAAGCGGCTCTAACAAAGCATGATGACGTCATAATGTTTATCAATTGGCACCAATGACGTCATATTGCAAGGGGCATAAACCATGGTGTTTTTGTTGTGGAAATAGAACACTTGGTAAATGTGAAAAATATAAATCGTTTAATACGAAAAATTTGTTAATTAATTGTGATATTTTTATATTTTTGTCTATGACACTTCTAGGTTAACACATTTAATGTTGAAAAAGTACAAGAAAAATAGGTTCATTTCCGTGTGAACTTGCCCTTTAAATGTTTAGAAAAAGAAAGAAAGAAAGTGATTTTTGCGTGTACACTTCCCCTTTAATGCATTCGGGGCGGTGGGGTAGCCTAGTGGTTAAAGCGTTCGCTCGTCACGCCGAAGACCCGGGTTCGATTCCCGACATGGGTACAATGTGTGAAGTCCATTTCTGGTGTCCCCCGCCGTGATATTGCTGGAATATTGCTAAAAGCGGCGTAAAACCATACTCACTCGCTCACTCACCTTAATGCATTCACTGCCTACCTTTCGACAACAAAAAGACGGTCTTGAATGGAGAAAGTTGTTTCACATTCCACTCCCTTGCTGTAATACGGACCATCGCCGCTGTCATGTGACCTTGATGACAAGTCACCATCCTCTGATCACTGCCTGTCGCGATCCAGCAAGGACATGTCTCAGCGGAGCTCTACAAATTGGATACTTTTAGACTTTCAGCTTCGGATATAATTCTCAAATTTATTTGCGATAGGAGATGTATTCTCTTCATATTACTTTCACTAATGTGTAGTTTTATGTGGGTTATGTAGGCGTAAAAAGACTTTGTATTTTTCCCCGCCAGGTGCTCGTTGTATCCCGCCATTTTGATTTGTGTTACAATTGTTTGCCTGTAAGGGTAGTCAAATTGTTTACAATTCTCAGCTATGTATTTTTAACATATTCATATGTTTGTAAATACTAGTAGCTTTGGTGTTACATAGAGTTTGCGTGTATCAATATTTGTATACACTTTCAACTCGTAAGAATATCTGCCGATAGAATATTGTTTAATTCTATGGCAATCTTCCAACTCAATCTCATTAACAATTCTCGATTTTGCGTAACTTATGCTTGCGCGTTGTACTAATTGTCGCGGAAAAAATATTCCAAGGATCCTCATCCACGTTGTTTGGCATGCACGCAGATTTGCTCTCCAAACTTTAAATGTAATATTTGTGCACCTCTCTCTCCAGCGAGTTTGGCAAATTATAGACAGGTCATTCACAAATGTATTTTGCAGCAGTCCCGTCGAGTGGCGAGGAAGATGTCACAATCGCTTGAGATTAGCGACGGACATTTTTCTGTCATTACTACCCAGCTGTTATCTTCGATGGGTAATTTGGCTTCCATCGTTCATCCTCCGGCGATATCAATAGTCTCGGAGGCTATTGTGAGTATCGTACCTGCTCCTAAGCTCCTGGGACACCCAGTACTACGATCCCTGCGACGCCGGCGCGAGTGTCTCAAGACGCCTTGATAGGGTAGCGCAGACGCAAGCCATGATCCAGTCATCACGATGATCATTGCGTCTCAAAGGCCTGCGCCGAGCGCACCGCCTCCCTACCACCCAAGTGCCTCTACTATTACAACAGCCCCCGGGCTTACGTGTAACCTGTTACGTAGGCGACGCATGATCAGCTTCCAACGACTTATCCACCGCAGCAGATGTACGCTCAGGGGTGACCACTGTTCCAGAACACGAATTGGATGCAAAACTTTATGCAGTCCATGTGGCAGCAGTCTATGGCACACCTGTATCCTTCGCCTACGCCTACGCCAACGCCTATGTTCAACTGTGGCACAAGTGCAAGCGCCTGCACCGGCGCCTAACGTATACCAAACTCCTAATGTACTGGTACAGCGCATACATCGTTGGGCAGCGCTAGTACGCAAGCGCGAACGTGGAAATCGGCACATGACTCCTTACTACCAAGCGGATCATCAAAGCCTTCTCATAGAGGAGGCGCTACGCGCCGGAGCAAAACCTGATTGCCGTCCGGGCGAGTGTGTCAACATCGCTATGACTCGTCGGACTTATCAAATGGCGAGTATGGCGATTTCTCTGTGGAATGGAATATGCATCTCGACTTAGCGCAAGAACCGTCTCGTGTCAGGGGCGCCCTCCCCTGGTAACGGGGTGGATAAAGGGACACCATATGGTCACATCCTACATCGATTCCGGTGGATCAGATGTTGACAAACATGATGAGTCATTGGACGAGGACTTGCTCCGTCATTTAAGACACCCAAGTTTAGGAAGGATGGTTTTCCTCTCAATGAGTTTGCGGTCGCAGACCAAGCTCATAGTTTGGATGAGGACATACAAAGGATGACAGGCTCGTCAAGGCAAACCACCCTCAAGGTACAAGGTACCAGATTTGCTGCGTTCACAGAAACGGAAATCAGGCGTGAACTGAAACCTTTGTCAGCACTAGCGTTTAACGCTTGCGGTGGATCAGGATCTATCAGAGGATAACCCTATCTGATTAGATCATTTCCAAACTATGGTGGATTTCCAACAGCATCAGATTACCGTCACATGCAGACTTGGTTATTTAGCGCTTTCCAACTGGGACTCTGAGTTCAAGCGCAGGCTGCTACCTCAACCTTGGTCATCTACTTCTCTGTTCAATTAACAAATCACAGACACGCACGCCAAAGTTTCCAATTACGCTAGGGATGAGACAGCGCTCAAGGCTCCAGAGCATGTCTCTCATAGTCTAGCGGGCTGGCAGGTCAGGCAATTATAAAAAGAGGTGATAAGAGGGGTAAACACTGAAGTGTTGTACAGTCACGTCTGGGAACTCCCGCCCCCAGTTGTCCCAATTGTCGATTTCCTTCAGCGGGAGACTGAATCTGTTTTGGAAAAACTTGATGATTCTCAAGGACGATTACGTACTCAACGTACTACGTTTAGACGTAGAGACGTAGAGGTAACCCCACCGTTGACTACAGCTCCTCCGCCTTGGAAATATCCAAGAAAGCAACATCTGCTATTAAAAGGCAATAAGACATACTGTTGGTAAATGGAGCTCTATAGATTGTTTACACCGCAGAGTTAACACCGGGGTTTTATCCTCACATCTGCCTGGTACCCAAGAAGGACTCAGACAAGATGAGAATGATCAACAATCTCTCACGAACGTTACCTAAAGCGTCCACCTTTTTTCCGCCTCACCGGGTGGAGCCAGAACCAGCAGAAAGGCATTCGAATCCTTGATCAGTCTCCACTTGCATATACCTATCCATCCCTCCGACCACAGGTTCCACAGGTTCCAGTTCAATGGAGTTCACTACCAATGGACAGTTCACCCATTTGGCATTTCAGTGGCCCCGTGGCTCTATACACACATAATGAAGTCAATAACTGCGATTCTACACCTGAGGAACATTTGGTTCGAGTCGTCTACAGACGACTGTCTCCTGTGTCGTCAACACATACCATCGTTAGTACACCATCGGGAATTTACCAGAAGGCTACTATATCAACTGGGATAGATAATCAACGAGGCGAAGTCGGAGTTAACTCCTTGTTATCAGTTCCAGTTTATAGGAGGCCTGTTCCAGACAGACAAGGATCTCCTATCAGTACCAAGGTACAGATGGCTAAAGATTTTATGCCTCTTGTCACCTGCACTAGTGGAAACTTCACACAGAAGCATTTCAGTTACTGCTTTAGAAGTTCGGTCAACCATGCCATCGACTTGTTTTTACGTGCCAAAACCACCAACTTATGACGCATGTCTCCCCCCTTATCGGATCCGCAGGCTTAGGCAGTGGATGCATTCAGCATCCCTTGGGAAGGGCTAAAAGCGTACGCCTTTCCGCCATTTGTTCTACTTCCCAAGGTGATACAAAAGATCAAAGAGACAAGGGATTGTGCCCTAGTGGCCGGCGAGAGTGTGCTTCGTTGAACTCAGAAGTCTAGCATAAGATGATCCACCACCCATCCCACAGTTGTCCAACCTACTCATCCACCCTCACAGCAAATTGCCTCACCCAATGCCAAACAGGTTTCATCTGCACGCTTGGTTTGTCTTTAAAGGGGTTAAGTGCTATTCGGCACGGGCAGCTAAAGCTATAGTGTTAGCCCATCGTCCTCCTACCAGAGGATTATACGATAACAAGTGGTAATCATTTGAGACTCTTTGCAAGGCAAAAAACAAGATCCCATAACTGCGTCACCACAATTACTAACCGAATACCTCCTACATTTGCGTACCAAGAAACACTTGAAAGGTAGCACAATTACTACGGATTTGGTTGCACTTAGCTCAGTGTTGGCCGTTCCAGAAAATAGTAAGACTGACCAAGGTGCCGGAACTCCAGGCCCTACTACACTTACTTAAGCTTGAAGATCAGAAGGTTCCAAGTTCCCCCACCCCCTTTGCTTGGGACTTGAACATGGTACTTCGAGGTTTGTGAGGACCCCCCTTCGATGCATCTTCAATTTATGACCTCACCAAGAAAACATTTTTTCTCATGGCATAAGCCACGGCGGCAACAGTGAGGTATCTATACTAGCCACATAAAGAAACTGTGCACGGAGAAAATATAGATATAAGGGCACACCGTCCACATATGAAATATAGGTTTGAACACAGCAATTATTGGAGACATTCAAACGCTCATGCACGTGCCATGCGATATGACGTCATTGATGGGGGCCTATGGACGTGCAATGTGTTACTGCACGTGCATACTGTGCAGCTGTACACAGCATGTGCAACTCAAAATTCGCTGTTACTTTGGAAAGGATGATCTGTGGTCATTCAAAAATTCAAAACTTCTCAGGCGCAGACACAAGCATATCACAAGCAAATCATGCCAAGATTGACAGCTGCACAGCGTCATGAAGCCATTGGAATGATCCGAGCGGGAATGAGGCAACAACAGGTGGCAACACATTTCCAATGCCATCGTAACACGATATCGGCATTGGTGAGGCGTTATCAGAACACAAATGACGTTGCCGACCACCCACGTTCAGGACGTCCCCGAGAAACGACGCCAAGACAGGACAGATGGATTCGAGTTACACATCTCCGACACAGGTTCCAAACGGCAGTAACGACGTCCCCGACAATTCCTGGACTGCGCCGTATCCATCCCAACACTGTCAGGAATCGTTAACGTCAGTACGGGATTCAACCACGACGCCCTACCATACGTCCCATCCTGACACACCGTCATCAAGTCAACCATCCAAGATGGTGTCGAAATCATGTGCGCCAACCTCGAATATGGTGGAGAAAGGTTCAACATTTCCCACAGTGACGGGCGCCAACGTGTCTACCGGCGTTTGGGAGAACGTTATGCACGCAACTGTATTGTGGAGAGGAATCGTTTTGGAGGTGGCCCTGTGATGATTTGGGGTCGGATAACAGCACGGCACCGACCCCCTTTGGTGGTTGTTCAGGGCAATCTCACCGGTGTTGGCTACAGAGATCAGATTCTGAGGCCTGTGGTCATTCCTTTCCTGCAACGTCATGGCCCGGGATTGACATTTCAACAGGACAACGCTCGTCCTCACACGGCTAGGGTCGCAATGGATTTCCCTCACCATAACAATGTCATGTTACTGCCATGGCCTGCAAATTCTCCAGATCTCTCCCCAATAGAGCATGTGTGGGATGAAATGGAGCGCCGTCTGTGTCGTCTTCCACATCCTCCAGATAACGTCCGTGACTTGGCACAGGATTTGAGGAGGATATGGCAGGCCATTCCCCAGGCCTTCCATGCCCATTTGGTGGACTCCATGTGTCGCCGATGCACTGCTGTGATTCAGCCACAGGGTGGTCATACCCGTTATTGACTTTGTGACTTTGTCGTTTGAACCCCTACTCCATTTTGATCTTCTGTCGTCATCGTAACAGATGTTGTTCAGGTCCCGTTGACATTTTCTTATGGTCCGATCATTCAGCTGCTACAGCGTCTGCATCATTTTGTTCTTGCTGTGTTGTATTTCAATCCAGAATATATTTTCTCCGTGCACAGTTTCTTTATGTGGCTAGTATACATGCAATCGACATCACCCGGGTCTGTTTTGAGAATGGGACGCAAGGAGCGGTACATCTCGGGTTGTGCTTCGAATTTTTGGCAAAATATCAATTACCAGGCGAACCCGATCGTTCTTTCATCATCCAACCTATATCAAAGATTGTGGGAGTGGAAGATGAGGGTGAACTTCTCTTGTGCCCGGTGCGAGCACTTCCGATTTTTCATCCCCCGTTCCAAAACTAGGCTTGGCTCGAGGAAATGGTTATTTTATCTACTACGTCCACGATCGAAGTTAGTCGCAACATCATATCTCTATGGTTACGCGCAGTCATCTTTCAGGCTTATGAGATGGCCAAACTTGATCCGCCGAGAGCGAATAATCCCCACGAGGCTCACGAGGGCTCACATAGTATCTGCTCTATTAAAACTATCATGGAAGGATGTTTTTGGAGGTCCGACACAGTTTTTGCTTGTCATTATCTTCACGCTGTGGTTCTCGAGGACGTCAAAGGCGAGCGAGATTTCGGCCCTCTGGTAGTAGCCCAGCAGGTCACCAACCCTCGACGCAAATAATGAACTCGCCCTGTACAGAGCCAGTCTACTTCCCTCGCAGGTCGCCAAGACTAGGCCAGTGGAAGAAATTTAGACAAACCTTTCTTCCAGGCTCTTTGGTAAAGAATTAGCTGTTTAACTAGTATTTCTTTATTACTGAATATGTATAGGGATCTACCCTCTAAATCTTCCGTTCATTCTGTAAGATGATTGAACAACCCTATCGTTTTTTCTAAGCTTTTTCTCCCTCACGGATTAATGACAAACCTTATAAAAGCAAGGGAGTGGAATGTGAAACAACTTTCTTCATCCAAGACCCTCGCGAGCGCTGTCTTTTTGATGTCGTAAGGTAAGCAGTGAATGCATTAAGGATTAATGCAGGATAAGTATACAAATGTAAAAAAATATTTAGTTTTTACAAAACACTTTGTTTCAAATGTTACGAAAGTTCCCAGTACATACATAACTCGTTTTCAACCAAAAGCTTTTACCTACCATTACGAAATAGAGTAAATCCTCATTTGAACTTTGTCAACTTCATTAGAATAATCAATGAAATGCGATCAGGATATCTTTGTATACTGTAAAAGCGTTAAAATTACGGACATTTTACAACTTTTTGTACAGTTACACCAAGTGGTTACACTGAAAACTTAGCTGTTGTCGAAACAAACAATGGAATTTTTAACCCATCAGCTGATGAGGAGATGTGAATAAGATTTATGCATAGTTGTTGTAAGTTTTTTAAACTCTCAAATACGAACACTGTACAATGAAACCCATTTGTTACTCTTTGGTATCTTGCCTTCATGCAGAAATGTGATATTCCTGACTACTTCAGTGGAATCATTTCCGTCCTGATCAACGGGGTGTCTCTAGATCTGTATTGAGGCTGATTGTGTTACGTGTACATGTCAATGTCTCTCATGCCAATGCATCCGATGAATAAAATAGAATGAACCTTCTTCCCACATTCAAGTGGCCACCGTGATAGTACTGGAATACTGTTCAAAGCGGCACTTAACCCAACTACCGCACTCACTCCCTCGCGAAATAGTTATCTACTATTCTTAATGACGTTAGTATAAAGCATTAATTGATCATTCTATTATATATCATGTCTTGTTGATTGAAATAGTGCCGATGCCTGTATATTTATCTTCCAGTCATCTCTCTGGTGCAAGTCTTTCAAGTGTTATCTTCGAAAGTTTTCATATGCTATCATTACCGTCAACATTTTTATGATTCATTTCAGAAGATTCGACTTCAAGCAGCCTTCAGGGTGAGATGGTTTTCTCTGGTCAGTTGTACTCTCTCACAAAAATGTATAGTGATTTCCTTATGAATTGGGAATGAAGGTTTTGTACAAGTGCCAAGTTTGAGTCCAATTCCCAAAGGACCAAAACCATGAATTGGGGAATGTAGTCGTTAAATTCAGTGTTTCATAATTTGGAAAACGAAAATAATACTGATAAAAAACGATGCATAGAAAATTGATGCATATGTATGCACATGCGTAATTTATTAATTATTGACAAATGTTATTTTACTTTCGTGTGAATTATTTGGTGTGTGTGGATATGTATAATGTAATATATGTGTAAATGATGTAGATATGTGTGTGGATATATAAAATTAGTATGTATGTATACATTGTACCGCAAAAGAAACGCCACCCCAAGTAACATTGCATGAATAGTTGTCATTTAAATATCTGGGTTATTTTTGTCCAAGTTTCTAAAATTTAACATTACCTTGTCCGGAAATTTGATGATAAAAAAACAAAGCAGATGAGAATAAAACCGATCGCCCAAACGCATCACGGCAACGGCCATGGTAACCCGATGCATGTGAGTTCCGTGCAAATTCCCCCATTTCTTGCCCTATAAAAATCCACCCAGATCGGATAACATTCATTCGATATTGAATTGCTACCACATGCCAAGATTGACAAGAAATCAGCGACACCAAGCCCTTGGACGATTGCAAGCTGGACAAACCGCCCGGCAAGTAGCCAATGCATTTCTAGTCCACGTAAAAACCATAAACAGGTTCCAGCAACGGTTCCAGACCACCAACACTATAGATGACCGACCATGTTGTGGAAGACCAAGGGTCACCACCCGACGTCAAGATCGTCAGATTGTGCGACATCTTCAAGATTGCTTTGTTACTGCTGTGGAAACTGTTGACAGACCATGGGGACACACCAGCGACACATGAGTGCGGACTCTGTGCGTCGACGATTGACGAGCAGACCCCTCCACTGTCATAGGCCACACCGAGGACCCATTCTGACACCACGTCATCACCGGGACCGTCTTCAGTGGGCAACAGCGCACCACCATCGGTGCAACCAGCAGTGGAGAAGAATCCTCTTCTCCGACGAGAGTCGGCGACGCCGTGGGGAACGATATTCGGATGCTTGTGTTGTTGAGAGAGACCCGTGGGGTGGTCCCAGCATCATGGTGTGGGGTGGAATTGGTCTTGCACAGAGGCTCGGCCCTGTGGTCTTCCAGAACATAGGTCCAAGGAGAGGCAATGGTGTTACAGCAGCTCGGTACATTGATCAAGTCTTGAGACCACACGCCATACCTCATTTGGCACGTCGCCGCAACCACGAGTTTCAGCATGATAACGCCCGTGCCCACAGTGCGAGAACAAGAGACTTCCTCCAGCAGAATGGCATCAGAACCATGCAGTGGCCTGCCCTCAGTCCTGATTTAAATCCCATTGAGCACCTGTGGGACGAGATTCAAAGACAGCTGAATGACGTCCGACCAAGGCCGACAACTGCAGCTGAACTGCGTCAGGCGTTCCTCAGAGTGTGGGCTCCAGTGCCCATGGCCCTTCATCAACCGCCTCATCAATTCCATGTATCGACGTTGCACGGCAATCATCAATGCACAGGGCGGACACACGAGATACTGATTTGTGATGCCATTTTCTCAGAGACTAGTGTTGTGTTTCACTTTAAGAACATTTGACACTTTAATTTAAACCTTGTTGATCAGTTTGATCTTTTTAATATATCTCAGAGTATGTTTACAGTGTTTGGACAAATAAGGTTTCTCATATATCTATCCATGGTGATGTTTCTTTTGCGGTTCAGTATATATATATATACCTTCATGGACATAAATATATTAATCAGTAGAAAGATCGTCCTTTGTTTGCGTATATTTAATATAACCCATGATTGTCAGTGATGCACAGGAATGTTTGTCAGCTGGTATATATTTATAAACATATATATAGAGGATATTATATGAGTGTTCATTTCATACTATGTTTAGTGTCTAAATTACGGTCCTGAGCGAGAGCAATACTGGAATTCAGGCACGAGTGTCGTAAACATAGTATGACCTGAACACGAATATAATGTTCTATTTATTACCGAAGAAGATGTCTTGATACAGAGACGAATTGTAGTGTGTACCTACAAGAACAGCAAGTCGCAACAGCAGCGAAACCACAATTTGTCGAATGACGTCAACAATCCTCAGCTATGACGCCGTTTCTAAAGTAACGTCATTCCGATCTGACGTCATAATAATATTCGAATGATGTCAACAATGCCGCCCGGATGACGGAAACAGTACAGCGTTGTCTGGTGACGTGATGCGACCCTAGAGCACCTATGATTTTTATGAACCCCGATATGTTTGCCCTCGAAGGTAATAAAAATGGTTGGGGCGGTCTAGTAGCCTAGTGGTTGAATCGTTCGCTCGTCACGCCGAAGACCCGGGTTCGATTCCCGACATGGGTACGATGTGTGAAGTCCATTTGTGGTGTCCCCCGCCGTGATATTGCTGGAATATTGCTAAAAGCGGCGTAAAACCTGACTCACTCACTAATAAAAATGGTAATTCAATACCATTGTAGAAGCACTTTTGCTACTGGCTTTTGAAATTTATTAATAATACATACATTCTATTAAATCACAGATGAAACTGAGGAGCTATACGCAGAGACGATATTTATAGAAACTGGGGCTTATCGTGAAGTCTGGAATGCCCTGCAAACAAAGGACCATGTATTTATTTGTGGTTCGCCTGGATCAGGAAAGACAACAATGGCCCACTACATCTCAGGAAAATACAGAGCAGAGGGACACCGCGTGATTTGTGTAGATAAATTGGAGAACTTTAAGTACAACACACCCACTCAAACATTACTGGTTTGTGATAATGTGTTTGGTACTTTTGCATCATCAGCCGATGTTGTGACGAGTTGTGACGCTATGTTTGAATATTTAGAACATCATTTCCAACTTTTGGAAATGGAAAAGGACGTGATGCCTTTGAAGGTCATTATGACCAGTCGGACAAACGTCTGGAATAGTGTCTCTCAAATGGTAATTAAATACCAAAATTCATTGCTGTCACCTGTCATAAATCTGACAATATCTACTCCACTTGATGATACTGAAAAAGAACAGATTCTAAAAAAACATTTGGAAGGATCGCAATTTGATCTAACGCATGATGAAATGTTAGCAGTTGCAAGATTGGAGTACACGACACTGGGATTTCCTTACATATGCCAACTGTTTGTGAAGAATTCTTCTCCAAAAAGAAATGCCTTGGATTTTTTTAAGGAACCGTGGATCTACTTGTATGGTATAGTAGCTGATATCTTTTCAAAAGAAAGGTACAGGGCTGCAGTTCTCCTGCTTATGATACTCAATGAAGGTGGTCTACACTTACATGATCTCTTAGATCCTCAACGGCGAAGGGATTCCGGACTGGATAAAAAGATATCACAGATTGGGGAAATCATGCCAGACGCTAACAATCCTTCTGAAATCAGAAAATCTGCAAGAAACGAAAAAGATACACTGATTGTGCTATCAAAGAACAATTGCGCAAAATTTAGTCACCAAGCTATTCATGATGTTGTGGCATGCATTGTGATTGATTTAAACCCTGTTGTCGCCTTAGAGAACTGCAGTCTAAAGTTCATAGTTGACAGAATTTGGATTTCAGAAACCAAGAATACAGGCATCTCAAAAGATGGTCATATGAATACGTTCCTTATTAATATTGAAGATGATTTAACGGAGAATCTTGTGCGTCGACTTGGAAGAGAAATTACTAATGGTAACTTGTCCCTCTCATTATCACATCAATGTTTTACCTTTGAGGACCTGGTTGACAAACTCTTCTCCTACTTCCCAGCAGATAATATTTTGTTTCAACGTGACAAGGATCGAGGATTCTTATTCTGGTCGTCATATTTGGACACAGGTGCATTTTGCAAATACATTCCACGAATGCAGCTATGTGAATCAGACATCCTTGAATGTTATCTTGGGTGCTGCATGCATGGGCACTTGAGCTACTTAAAAGGGCTCGTTGGTCAATCTGACTCTTTGTTTGACAAAATAGCCACCACAACTGTCGGGGAGATCCTGCGTACCAAAGATAAAACCAGACCGTATCTTCAATCTCTTTCTACAGGAAAGAGTATTACCGCTCCTGCAGTGCCCTCAGACAAAGACTGCCCTCGAGAATATGGTGACAACAGAGATCTGTTAATCCACGTGGCTGCTGCCAATGGGTTTACAGAATGTGTACGTATACTGCTTGACATTGTAGGCACAGCGATTGATGTTCTTGGGGGAAATGGTATGACAGCTCTCATGCATGCTTGCTTTCGGGGACACACTGTTTTGGCCCAAATGCTGCTTGACAGGAGAGCAGATCCAGAACTATTAGATGAAGAGAAAGACAACTGTCTTCATCTCACGTGCAGAGGAGGATGCCTTGACGTTGCTAAATTGCTGCTCAGACAATCTATGGATTTGAACCAAGATGGTGAATATGGAAGAACACCTTTGATGTACGCTTCGTACAATGGACATGAAGATATCGTGAAGTTGCTCCTAGAGAATGGAGCACCCACCTCAGTTGATTCTGGCTCTGTTACAAACAAAGACAGTTGTCTACATCTTGCATGTAAGAAGGGAGAAACCATTATTGTAAAGATACTTCTTGATCATGGTATGAGCATTGAAGGTGTTAGTGGTGAAAACGAAAGAACGCCTTTAATGTATGCGTGTAGGCATGGGAAGTTGGAAACAGCAAAGGAACTAAAACAAAGACATGCTGTTTTAGATATCGTCGATATAAATAACTTTTCATGTCTACACTTGGCAGCAATGAAAGGGCACGTTCCAACCGCTGAGTGGCTTCTACAATCAGGAATCACTGTTAACTGTGTTAATTCAGCATCAAGAACCCCCTTAATGTATGCTTTTCAGAATGGCCATATTGATATGGTAACATTCTTGAGGCAAAATGATGCCGACATGCAGATGGTGGACGATAAAAAAACAGCATGTCTGCACTTTGCAGCAAAATCTGGTGATTTGCATCTGGTTCAACTTTGTCTTGAATTTGATCACAATATCGATCCTCTCACAAAAGAAGGCTGGACTCCAACCATGCTTGCTTGTGATCAAGGTCACATTGGTATTGTAGAGCAACTAGTGAAAAAGGGAGCAGATATCAATCTTGGCAGCGGCTGTTTATTTGTGGCCTGCAACAAAGGTTGGTTCGACATTGTGAAATTTCTAACGTCTAGTAGAGGTGATAAACGCGCTAACATTAACAAGCGTGGACTGAGAAATGTGACCCCATTAATAAGAGCGAGTTACCGTGGATACACAGACATTGTTGATCATTTGCTGTCATGTGGGGCTGATGTCCTGTGCAAGGATGACTATGGAGGTACATGCTTACATGCAGCTTGTGGTGGAGGTCATCAGGTTGTTGCAGAGAAACTCGTGAGGTTCTTCAATGTTGATGAACTTGGTGCCAGTGATCGTGAACTGATTGAACTTATCCGAAGATTTTCTGACATGAGTACAGACAATTAATTGTGGACGGTTGTCTTCTTTGATGATGATGATTTGTTTGAATATGAAGATGACAGTGAACTCTCAAAGTGACATTAGAAGTCATGTTTTCAAAATAACACTTTTCAGTGTACATTTCGGCAGAATGTACGAATAAAAGGCCTATACATAGTGTACATGTGTGATGAAATGTAAGTAGTTATTGATGATGCTTAGTTAATGGTAACTATGTAACTCAAACTCGGACAGGTTCCTAACTAAAAAGCAAGTAAATTGTTATTCTACCATGACATTGATAAATGCTTGATTCTGATTGGTTTAAAAGATGTTTCCTTTTTGCTACTGAAACCCCTTTCAAATATATTAAGCCTTTTCACACAAAAAACCTGCGTATGAATACATGGATAGCATACATATCGATTCATAGAAAATGGCTGCTGATCGATCACCCCCATATATACTGTAAAACATATCTATATTTCCTCTAATACACGCTAGGTCTCTAATACCAGCCAGGTCTCTAATACACGAGCCGAGTAAAGGGCTCTCGCGAAATTAATAGACGGCGTAGTGTCAAATAGAGGAAATACGGTAGTTTGATATCGGACGTTTGGGGTGTTCTAGGCCGCAACCCTGACTGCTTCGATGATGACATTAAAAGATTTAACGAAGGCATATCTTTTGCATACAAATGAAATGTTTATGAAACTGTTAGAAAAATTATCTATAGTGACCATAATCGGAACAATTTAAGCTATTTCCTCATTGAAACAACCGACAATGGAAGTAAAATAAAACATTATAAAAATTGTTTGAAAAAACTTTATTCATGACAACAAACCTTTCTGATCGATATTCGTTGCCATCTCCGTCAACCACCACCGTTAAAATTTGTCAGGAGGGGATTTGAAAGTCCATCAGAAAAAAAAACCCTTCGAAAGTCCACGAAAAACAATGTTCCAACTGAAGTGACAGCTTATCAAACTTGATGAAATTCATTTCCGAACACGCACAATTAAGAAAATCATACACAATCCACTATTTCTGGGACACAAATGTCTAAGTTTTGTCACTATTCGGCTTTAGATCCGTGAAATCTTGAAATTAATAGGTCACACCATGCAGATTCCTCGTTTCAAAATATCAGGCTCGTCTGCAGCCTAAAAAGCGGCTGTTCAGTCATACTCAGTCACATTGGTAATCATATGGATGCACCAGCAGGCTCAATCAATCCCAGATAATCTACCTGTTAATGTTGAACCACATCATAGATCGGGGTTGTCATCTTGCTTCTTTCTATAACTCTTTACCAAGAATGTAAACACTGATTGTCAGCTGTGACGTGTGAGTAACCGTGATGTAGGTCAATTTCTGCCACATCAAAGTTCGGGGTGGAGAGCCATTTATTTTGATTTTATTATTGTTTACTGGGGGTAATTGCTAACTAAATAATAACACTTACACATGTTAAATGTACAATAGAATGTTAATTCATAAAGTTTGCTCTAGAAATACATTCATTTAGCATTTTAAAACCTTTTTCTATTACCCGTCACCCCTACAATGGAAGTGATGGCATGTTCGATTTCCAAGAAATGACCGCTCGCACAAAATTCCGAGAAATGACAGCCAGTCCACAGTGTACAACAGTGTACAAAAGTTTGGTGGAAAGTAAAACATCTCTCTTTGGACTAAGTTACGAGTGTTATTTGTCAACTTCTTTTGAAAAAATACGTGTTTTGAACACTTATTATGAACTACTCACGACTATGGTGTTTTTAATCTTGAACTTTAGTAATAATTGTTACATATATAACTACCTGTGACCACTTTTCGGAATGTTCTAAGATTGCGGGCCTGTGCACCTGTGTTATTACGCGTTGCAAGAGAGCGCCGTTTTCAAAGCGTTGTTGCCGTCATGGTAGAATGGAGATAAACCTACTGTGTTTTGAAATTTGATGTAGTCCCACTGTAGAATAGATACCTCTTTATTATAATTCGGAACCTCGCGCTAAAGCGAAAGTTAAAGCGCTCGGTTCAAAATTATAATAAAGAGGTATCTATTCTGCAGTGGGACTACATCAAATTTCAAAACACAGTAGGTTTATCTCCTAATTGATATAGGCATATTTCATCCATGATAACCGTTGATATTACACTTCTCTCACTGTTTATGAAAATATACCGTAACACGTTTAGGAAAAGATTTACAAAAGTCTTTATAGAATCAAAATGAGTAAAAAAAGCATCTTTTGAAAATGATTACAATAATTTGTCGTTTTGTTTTAAAGTTTTACATGTTAATATAGACTTCTCTTGTGCAATCTACCAAATAGTTCCACTGAAATCACAATGTCGAACCAGATCTAAATGTAAGAAGAAATTCAAATCAATTTCTTTCACCATATTCCGATCCATGTCCGTGACAGAGAGATGATGTTTTCTTAACTTATGCACAACCGTGGGCCAAAACATGCCTTATCATACATTGTGCTGTAGAAATAATGGTCAAAACTGAAACCCAATACTTCGCAAACATATATTGGTCATCGTTGTTCCCCCTTTATTGCGTCCCATTTTGTTAAAAGAAAGACGCGAAGCTCTATGGAAAATCTCTCCTGAGAGAATGAATTATTTAGGTTATAAACTTAGGCAAGGTCGTGGTAATATATCACTTCATTGGCCAGAACTATCTTATCTATAATTTTGAGTTCTAAGGTATTCTTTGTATGTATTACCCTATTGCCCCTTCAGATGAAAAATAAAAGAAGGAGGGTCAGCATGAAATAGCCATTTTGTCTAATAATTGATCAGCCTAATAATTGCTGAACTTTATCTTGTCAGATATCCGAAAGTTATTATACAGTGTGTTTACCAATAGTCAGTTTATCATAGTGTTTGCAACATGCTATTGCACTGTCTTCACAAAGCAGACATGATTTATGGATAACCACTTCTTTAATTACTGCAAAGGCGACGTTTCGGTATAGATCTTTATACCATTGTCAAGCAAGACTGAATGATGAACATGGTTTCCTAACGAAATCACAAGTAAAATGTTATTGAAAAAGGCATATTTCGTCCATGATAATGGTTATAATACATAACGGTCCATGATAATAATTGCTGAACTTTTTCTTTTCAAATATCGAAAGTTACAGTGTGTAACCAATAGTCAGTGTATCATAGTGTTTGTGACATGTCATTGGAATTCTTGACAAAGTAGACACATTTTATGGATAACAACTTATTTAATACACTGGTTTGGATTCTGTTGTTGGGGTTCTGGAGACAAGGACAACTAAGAAGGGTAGTTGGTTGTTCTTTTCTATTTTGCTGGTGAACTGTACTCGGGGGTGTTGTTTGTTAAGATGTTGCCAATCAATCAACAGGGATCATGGCTATTTCATCCCTTACTCTACTATAAACTCATTAAGCAATAACCACTCCGTCTATGTATACTTATCCTGTATAATTGGCTTCCTGTCTTATTGGCTTCCTCATCATGTGTTCTGTGTCCATCATGTTGTTACAGTAGTACCCTTCTGTTGTCATTACTTAACCTACTTATGTTAATCCCTCTTGTATGCAATAGGTGTTACTGTTAATCCTCCACCTACTGTATATTATTCTGTACCATGTTCATTTAATCTTGCTTGCTGTAATATTGCTAAAAGCGACGTAAAATAATACTCACTCACGCTTGACAACGGTATAAGGGTCTATACCGAAATGTCGCCTTTACAGTAATTAAAGAAGTGTTATCGATAAATTGTGTCTACTTTGCCATCCGCCAACTTCTAAGTAATGCCTATCAAACAATGCATTGCAATGTCTTGCCACGCACGAAACTCCATTATGTTTGAAGGAGTGTCCTGTTGTTTTGAGTCAGAGAAGTTTGGAATGTTTTACGTGTTTATTGTTCTTTAACATCATGTTATCCTCTGTCAAACAATAATACATTTTTGTCTTTTGAAACGAATGCACTTTTGATTAGTACGCGTTGTTTTTTATGCTATCAAGGAGGTGCACAATGTAGAATGATGAGATAAAATTTGCTCATGACGTTTTACTGGAAATATGTGGGTGTCAGAGTTATAATATGATTTGTTTGTTTGTTGTTTAACGCTGCACTCAGCAATATTCCAGCTATATGACTGCGGTCAGTAAATAATCGAGTCTGGACCAGACATTCCAGTGAATGATATCATGAGCATCGATCCACGCAATTGGGATCGAAGACATGCATCAACCAAGTCAGCGAGCCTGACCACCCGATCCCGTTAGTCGCCTCGTGTGACAAGCATAGCTGCCTTTTACGGCAAGCATGGGTTTTATGAAGACCTATACTACCCTGGAATCTTCACGGGTCGAGTTATGAGAAGGAGTTTTGTACAGTTGTGGTATATTTCACCTGTTGGAATGACCTTTTTACATAATGTTATGGTGTCATTTACACGTTAAGAATCACTATGTTATAATTGTATGGTCATTTCATGTAACATAAAGGGGTTGGCTGTTGGGAAAGGGAAATTGCACCTGGAACGGAAAAATCTCCAAAGTGTGCATGACAGAAAGTAGCTCCTGGGAATGACTATTCAGACATCGTTCTGGGACTTCAACTCATGCGCCAGGAGCTCAGAGACTTGCACACATGTTCAGTGCTTTATTTTGATACTTACATCTTAATTATCGATGTCATTTACAAGGTAAAAAGTAGTTATTTTATTCTTGTGTCGTCATTTTATGTAAAATAATGGGGTTGATATTTCTCATGTATTTAGGATCATTTTTGCCTTCTCAATAATTGTACATAGCTTGTTGTAAATCGTTAGTGATACCGTTGAATAGCTTATGTTCAGCACGTTATTTTGAAACTTACATCTTCATTATGGATGTCGTAGTTAGTTTGCTATCCGTGTTTTCCCTATGTTTAGAAGCACACTTGGGCTAACAGCCCCAGACTATTCTATTCCCCGACAGTCCTCTCTGAGGTCCGCGCGCTGTATATATCTACTTTTTCTCGACCTAGTGTCTTGCCCCCCAGGCGGCGTCAGATCGTTTACAATTGTCTCGTTACTGGGTGATCTCTTCGAAATTCATGTTTTGTTAGTAAGTGATTACGGGACACGTTTCATCTATGACTGAGTTACTCTGGTTGTATTTCTAGCTACTTAGTAAACAGGGTTTCCAATACTTAGTTTATCTAGTAATCCATGAATAACCAACCCTCCTGTGATAGTCTAGCGTTTTGGGAACTTTAGTATTTCATTGCTCAGTAAAAGTGACTGAATCTTTAATCGATGAGACTAGTTTGATATTCAGACGTGCTCGTCTATTTTATAGTCCAAGTGTCGTAAGTTAGGGACTGGTCCCCTGTGTTTATTTCACGTTATTTAACCCAGCCGAAGTTATTCACCCTTACTTACTTTGGAGATTTAACGTGCGCTTTCCGACTGATGCGTATTTCGCACACGGGCCCGGCCAGGCCATTTAATGTGTTTCCGAAAGGGGCGAAAGTGGTCTGTGCAACCCAAGAGGGGGGTTTTAGGGGTTGCTTATATAGAATTTGGGAATTTTGAGATTTGAGAATAGATGCCGATGGGATTGGGGAGGAGAACTAAGGGAGCTGGGTATGGTGGATGTTTGTTTGTTTATGTGATTTTGATTTGGTAGGTTATTGTGTTTTTAGATGCGTTTTATAAGTTCCGTGTTTATTAAGAATACGCCTAAGGCCTTGAAGTTTTCTAGTTTATTTTGTGGGTTTAGTATTGCTTCTAGAGTTAGAGCCTTGTTTAGATTGAGGGTGGTTTGTAATGCGGTTCGATGTGTTAGGTAGTGTGTGCAGTGGATGAGTGCGTGTTCTGGGGTTTCTGGTTGTTTGCAGTGTGGGCAGTTACCTGTAGTGTGTTTTTTAAAATTTTTTAGGTGGTTATTTAGGTTGGTGTGTCCTGTTTGGAGTTTAGTGATAACTCTGTCGATTTTTTTGGAGGGATGGAGAATTTTTGGTTTGGTTAGTGGTTTGCTGAGCACTTTTTTGATTTGGCTATTTGAGTTTAGATATAGGTTATACCATTTTTTTGTGATTTTTTGCTTGTTTACACTTTTAATTTCTGATTTTGAGATGGGTAAGTTTAAGCTTATTTCTGGGATTTTGAGGGATAGTTTAGCTGCTTTATCGGCGTTTTCATTACCGTATATTCCTACGTGGGCGGGTATCCACAAGAAGGTTATTTGTTTGCCTGCCTTAGTTAGGTCGTTGGAGCTTTTAAGTATTTGATTTATTAATTTAGGTCGGTTTTTGGTATTTTGGTTTTGGAGGGCTTGCAGTCCACTTAGGGAGTCGGTAAGTATTAGGATTTTTTTGTGTTTTTTGGATTCTTGATTATGGAGGGCTGAGGCCATGCCCATTAGTTCTGCCGTGAATATTGATTGGTTGTTTGGGAGTCGGAAGGATTGTGTGGTTTTTGTTGGTTGTGTTGTATGGACTCCAAAACCTGTGTGTTTGGAGGTCGGATCTGAGGATCCGTCCGTGTAAATGTGACACCAATTTGGCCAATTTTCGTGTATGTATGCTAGTGTGGTAGTTTTAGCTATGTTTGGGTCGGTTTGTTTATTTATTTGGCTAGCTAGTGTTGTGTCTATTTTGGGTATTTTAAGTTTAGGGGTGAAGATATTTGATTGCTTGCAGTTTTGTTTAAGATTTTTAATTTGGTGTTCATTTAGGTAGTTTGTTATTCTTTGGGATATTGGGGTAAGTAAGGGGTGTTTACGAGCTAGAGCTTGGTTTTTGGGGCTGATGTTTTGGTTTATTAAGTTTTG